TCCTGCTGAGATTCTTTCCCCCCCTTTCTTTTTGTTTTGTTTGAATTTCGTTTTCCTTTGCTTCCCTTGGCTTTCTCCGGATCACCCTCGTCATCGTCTGATCGTTCCATTGGCATGGCAGTATTCTCATCGAATTCCTTTTGATCTTCTTCTGTCTCTTTCTGAGCCCCACGCAACGCTTTGGCGTCATCCTCGTCTTCTAGAGCGGCCATAGCTTCTTCCATTTCGTCCTTACTCATATCTTGGGCCTTTTCTTCTTCTGCCATAATGGAGTGTGGTTCATCGTCTTCAAAACCCAAGATAGCTTGTAAGCCTGCTTTGGTATAGACATCCTTAACGTCTTCTGATTTGTTCGAGTCCTCCGGACGCGATGGTGTAGATGCATTGAATTTACCTTGGTCCATTACCATTATATCGAGATTTTTCTTTTTTTGCGCCTTTTTCAATATATTCTCTTCAATAGTGTGTTCAGTAATCAAGCGGTAGATATGGACATCTCGAGTTTGACCGATGCGGTGGGCTCGATCTTGGGCCTGGGCATCCATTGCGGGGTTCCAGTCGCTATCGTAAAAAATGACCGTGTCGGCTCCCGTGAGATTGATTCCTGTGCCACCACTCCTYGTACTCAAAATAAAACAGAATACCTTTGGGTCGTTGTTGAACCGATCCATTAACCTTTGGCGTTTGTCTACACCCGTAGAACCGTCTAGGCGAAGATACGTATGACCATTCATACTCAAAAATGCTTCCAAAACGTCCAGGACTTTTCCCATTTGGGTRAAAATCAAGCACTTGTGACCCCCTTCTTTTCGTTTCCTCAAAAGAGTAGCAAGTGCCTGCAACTTTCCGGCATCATATTGTACTAATTTTTTGTCTGGGAAGAAAGAAGAGAGGCGTGCACGGGCTTTACGGTACGGCTCGAGAATTTCTTCGATCGGTTCCAAAAGCATTCTTTCGACGTCTTTTGATATCCCAGCTCTTTCCCCATCCGAAGTGGGGATGCCGTTCTCGACTTTCGGGGGTCGTCCTCCAGCTGGCGGGACCCGAAAGACAAATTTCTCAATGRTCTGCTCCATGTCGATTGCTCGATCTCTTTCGGACTTTCGCAGTTCGAGAAGTTTAGCAGGCGTCTCTATGACCTGTTGATTTCGCACCTCTGTAGGTTCTGCTCGTCTGAAAATATTGCATTCGACCTCCAGCGCATTTAGAAGTTTYGAAGAATATGGGAATGGTCGCGCTTTGCAACGCCGGCGATTTATGGCGTTTTGGAACTTCGTGGTCGAGGCTTGATGCTCCTCTCTCGCCCTGTATATCTCCTTCACCAAACTTTGAAGCTCCGTCGGAGAACTTTCGTCGTCTTTCAACTCAATTTTCTCCCTTGGCTGAAATCCAGCACAAACCGAGCTCAACCCAGCGGACTCGATCGAGTCATGGTGCAATGCGGCTTCGACAGAAGGTTTACTCGAACTACCGCACCACAAGGGTTTTGCCATGCTCGAGCTGATGCGTTCGAGGAAGGCGTCGTCTTCATCCCATATTTCACAAGTGCAACGGGGAATCGCAATCGAAATGCTCGGCAAAACAAAAGGAGTGACTACGGAACGCGGCTCGAAAAGGTCGGGGTGGTTRCATACTTTTCGAAGCTGCATAAGAACATTCATCATTCCCATAAAGTTCCCCCCCTGCTTCAGTGCCTGGCGAGTCGACGATCGAGAAAGAAATTCTTCGTACAAAGTCATTTGGCGCCTCGAGAGCTGACACTTTACAATATGCTCAAACTTTCCCGGCATCTGCTTTTCGACCTCCTTCTTAAGCCGACGAAGAACGAAGGGGCGAATGATTCCGTGGAGGCGCTTGATCACGTCTGCATTCTGGTTGGCGGTACCCTCTATGATGTTGTTCATTGGATTCGAGAACCAGTATGAGAATTCTTTTCGGGATTTGAAAATGTATGGCATCAAGAAATGCAACAACGACCATAGCTCCATCAAATTGTTCTGGAGGGGGGTGCCTGTAAGAAGCAAACGGCGCTGCGTGTTGAAATTAATCAGGGTCTGCCATCGCTGGCTCTGAAAGTTTTTGATGTTTTGCGCTTCGTCGAGGATCAAGTAGTACCACTTCTTGCGTTTAAAGGCAAACGCATCCTGGACGGCTAGTTGATACGATGTGATGACTACGTGGTACCAATTTGCCTTTGTCCATCCCGTCCGCAGTTCCTTGCGGCGTTTCGCATTCCCGTAGTAGCACAGAATCTTGAATCCTGGACAAAACCTCTTTAGTTCGGTTTCCCAATTAATAATCACCGAGGTTGGCACTATCACAAGATGCGGACCCCATATTCCTTTGTACGAAGCTAGATACGCAAGCAGCGAGATCGTTTGCAATGTCTTCCCGAGGCCCATTTCTATTTTTTGTTTCCCAAGAAATTTTGAACAAGATGAATCCCAAAATACGAGACAATCGGACAAGAAAGCGAGACAGATGAATTAGCGCATCGCAATTARAYCTACAATATCGCAGCACAGAATATTTGTATCTTGTTTCACGTACCGTCCGCGAGTATACCGTTCAACCGTCGGCTTTGGAGTGAGACCAACCAATTCAAACCGATCTGCTGGTATTTCCGCAGCTTGACCCACGGTGCCAGCAAGAAAGGCCTCGAGGCCAACGTCTCGCGTGCCTTTGCAGCGGATACGGCGAGTGCCTYCATCGCCGCCGTTCCGTCGGGTTCGGACGATGGTGGGGCTTCTTTTTCGTCTTCGTCCTCGGCGACGGCTGGAAAACCACCACGTGTGTTTCCTTTGTTGCGAATRCGCTTGCGAATCCCTCCGGATTTTGAATCAAGCGACAAGGAAGATCCGTCTGTAGTTGCTCGATTTCGTTTCCTCCTCTTCCTACATCCGCCATCTACAATCTTTTCATCGCTGTCTCCCCGGTCCTTATCATCACGAATGCTCATTTTTTGGGAAGACTCGCTTTGTCCTTCACTATCGACCTCACAAATAGTCCCGGTGTCCATAATGCCAGAATACATTGCCCTCARCTCGTCCACCGACATTTCGTTTTCTTGGTTCAACAATTTGAGTTCTTCTTCATAGGTCATGTCACGGCCCAATTTCTCTTCCGCAATCATGGTTGTTTCGTCGTCCACCTCGTTGTTGTCGGCTTCGAACTCGCCATCGTCGTCGCTGGCCGACGCAACTGCATCGCTGTCATCGTGTACAACACTGTTGCTCTGTTGGCCAGAGGCGTGTTGCTTGGCTCGGTTGTCTCCAGTTTCATCGTTGTTGACATCGTSAGCAATTCCATGGTTGTTCGGATTCTCCTCACTTTCGTTCATGCCCGCATACATCGCCCTCAGTTCCTCTATGGACATTTCGTTTTCTCGATTTAGCAGTTCGAGTTCCTCCTTGTACGTCATGTCCCGTCCGAGTCTTTCTTCCGCAATCATAGTGGTTTCGTCGTCCACCTCGTTCTTGTCCGCTTCAAATTCTCCGTCGTCGTCGTCGTCGTCGTCGTCATTGGATGCACTTTGAGAACCATCGGTCTCGGCGTCGTCGGTCTCTTCCATATCATTCTTTTGGAAGCCTCCCTGGCTTGTTCCAGACGTTTGGTCCATCCCGGCGTACATCGCCCGCAGTYCTTCTATCGACATCTCGTTCTCACGGTTCAGCAATGCGAGTTCCTCTTCGTAAGTCATGTCACGTCCCAGTTTTTCTTCGGCAATCATTGTGGTCTCGTCGTCCACCTCGTTCCTGTCGGCTTCAAATTCCCCGTCATCGTCGTCGACGACGACACCGTCGTCATTTGGAGCACTCCGTCCAGAACCGTCGCTGTTRGCGCCGTCGTTCTCTCGCGGTTCGAAGGTTCCCTTGCTTGGGRACGATTTCTCCGCCATTCCGGCGTACATCGCCCTCAGTTCGTCTATCGACATTTCGTTTTCTCGATTCAGGATCTCGAGTTCTTCCTCGTAGGTCATGTCGCGGCCCAGTTTCTCTTCGGCAATCAGGGTGGTCTCGTCGTCCGGCTCCGGTTCCTTGGCGAAGTATTCCTCGGTGGCGCTTTCGTTCTCGTCGTTGTATTCTTCGTGGAGCGTTTCGAGATAGTCTTCTACGTCGCTGGCATCTCCGTCGTCGTCCGCGTCTTCTCCCGGATCCACCCTGGAACGCTTGGCGCGTGGCCTTTGTGCCAACGCTTCGGTAGGACTGTTGTCTTGCCCGAAACGAACCTGCTTGGGGCCATCCGCAGCTCGGCTAGAATCTTGTGGTTCGTCGGTTTCCATCGGGTCGCTTCCGTCGTTTTCATCGACTTCGTGTTCGTCCTCTGTCGCCTCCTCCCCTTCGGTTTGCAGACGCTTCAAGACAGCGGCAATATCCATGTCCTTTTCTTCGTCGAGCTTCCGCAGTTCTTCCGGGTCCGCCGAGTAGCGCTGGAGGGCATCGTCGTGAACCGGAGACGACGGTCCGCCACTCTTGCCTCGACCGCGTTTCGATCGCTGGGCCCTCGCGTTCATTTCTTCCTCCATGGCCAATTGGAGGGTGGCTTCGTCGTGGTGATGACCATACGAATCCTCTTCCTCGTCCGAAGGGGAATACTCGTCCTCGTCGAGGTTGGATCCGCTCCCCTCGTCRGCCGTCGATTCCCCGTAAAACTCGGTTTCCTCCAGCTTCATGCGAGAATAATCGAGGTAGCGGGACTTGGCCTTTCGGTGCGAGGCACTGGCCAGGGCTTCCTCGATGGTCAGCGAAGGGGCACGATCCCGCGGACGGCGGCTGCGGATCCKGTTGCCCCCAGAGTCCTCGTCGGTATCGGTGTCTCCTTCTTCCTCAGTGGACACCATCCTGGACTGTCGGTGCTTGCCGGTGTTGTTGGAAAGTGATTCCGTGTACTTTTCCGTCTGCTGRACCAGCTTGACCAGCTGCTTGTTCATCGAGGYCTGTCGCTCTTTCTCGGCGTCTTGCTTTTGCTGGTAGGCGACGATYTTCTCCAGCTTGGTCCACCACCCCTTCACGTCGCGGCCCAGCTTCGAGGCGACTTTCTTTCGCTTCGATTCGGCCTGTTGGAGCCTGCGCAGCCGGCGGGTTTCTCGGGAAGCGTGGAACTTGAGCACCGATGCGCCCAGCTTCTTGGCCGAAGCGATCTGCCGCTTGCGTTCCGAGGAAAAGTCCGTTCCGAGCCACATGAGTTCCTTCAGGACGAAATCCCAGTGGACGTCCGTTTTGGGCACGTACGGGAGGACCGGAACCGGAACCGCGGAACCGGAAGCCCCCACCAAGGGTACTTGCGGCAATTCGGAGAGATCTTCCGGTGATGCTGCACGCCGTGTTCGTTTCTTGCTCCCGGCGGATGCCCCCGGCCTGGGCCTGGGCCTCGCGGCCGGGGGTTGCGGGATCGAAATGGCGTCCAATCGATCCTCGATCGCCTGCTTCCGATCGAGCAGTTCGGCGTGTGTGGTTGCGWCGCCTGCGGTGCRGGAAATGCTCCCGCCGCTGGCGCCTTTCTCGGATCTGCCGCGTTCCCTGRAAGAGGAGCGGGTCGCCATTCTMTGCGATGTGCCGTCCGTTGGGTACGAACCGATCGATCCGAATGGAGTGGTTTCGGTTTCGGTCGGTCGGAATCGACGCCGGCGCGCTGTTCGTTTCGCGTGGGTAGCACTCGGTGACACTCTTTAGCAATCTATTCTAGCCCGACAGCTTCCGTGGTGTCTTTTCTCGCAGCTGTMTGTGGTGCAATGCCGCTGTGCCTGTCATGCCCGAAAACGATCGAGGGCTCTCGTTAAAGCATCATCGATCGGTCGATCGATCTTTCTTTTTCACTCATCTCACGGGAAGGTCCCCCCGATCCACGCGTTCGGGGGAAAGGTTAAAACCAGCATGGTACCGTACTTTCCTACAGTACTGTATGTATGTTATCATATGTATGTTATCCGTTATCCTATTGATGTTAACGAATCGAACTGGTCAAAACAAAAGACATTGCTCTTCATTCACGTCCAATCCATATGATTAGTAGCTAATAAGATTGCTTGATTCCTAATTTTATCCCTCACTCTAAATCAACACCAAAATTGATGCAAAATGACATTTTTGGCCAAAATGAACAATTGTGGTGGTAGGTACCAGTCTAGTAGTACTACTAGCAAATTGAAAACTCTTATCAGCAGCAGGAGTAGCACTAGTACTAGTACTAGCAGTATTACTACTAGTAGTAGTACTACTAGGAGGTGGTTTTTAATAGAAGAACTAGAACATCCCACCCCGCCAATACTACTACTAGTAATGTTTACTGGGAGTTATTTTAGTATTGTTGTAGTACCATACTGTACTGTACAACCACTGCGTGACGTGCTGAAGCGTCCCCCCACCCACCCCCTGCAAGGAGAGGTCAACCTGGTGACGATAGTAAGCCTGAACAAGAAGAAGTTCTTTGTTGATAAGGTGATTGTCAGTTGCGCACCACTAGTAGTACTTCTTCAAAATTTTCTTGCTCTGCCTCATAATAGTTGGCATCTCATCCCTGTAATAGTAGTTATTATACTAGTATTATTTTACTTCAAAATTCCATCCATCAGGGGGGGGATGAGACCCCCCTCATCTGCAAAAAACAATTACAGCCTTTGACTTCCAGCATCAATGATCATCCCCCTCCCAGTACTAGTAATATTTAGCATTGTTTTTATTGTGCATGTTAGTACTAGAGGCTGCTTCTTGGCTGGCAGCACTCTTGAGGATCCCATTCATGCACTAGTACTAGGAAGAACAAGAAGAGATGCTCTTGTTGAGAATGGTCTTGACTTCCTCAGTGATGCTTGGACTACTCCTAGTAGTAGTAGTAGTACTACCAGTAGTATCAAGCTGTTGCTGCTGTTTTCTTTGATTTCTTGACATTGCTCTCATTTTAAAGAAAACAATAGTAGTACTACTAGTGGTGGCTGTTTGGTGTTCTTTCTTTTGCTCCTGCTGGTGCTCCTGGTGCTGCTACTACTACTAGTACTAGCAGCAGTACTAGTAGTGCTACTACTAGTAGTGCTAGTAGTGCTAGTAGTAGTGCTAGTAGTAGTGCTAGTAGTAGTAGTAGTAGTAGTA